ATATAAATATGTATGTACTTTACAATGAAATACTTTTAGCCGAGCACTTTTTTCCTGATCCGTAGTTCCATTTGTGTTTCCTTCTTCAACGGAAACGGTTGATCTGGCAGCAAGTGTTTCGTTTAAAAAATATCATGAGAAACACCGTCCGTCCCCTATCACAAAGCTAACCCTATGCCTTAATTTCTCTCATTTTCGTTTTAAATAATATTGAGGGTATTCATTATTTCTTCGTATCCATCGTATCGTAAAATAGTTTACGAAGAAAAAACAAGGGGTTAGGTTTAGTAAAAATCGTAAGCGTAGTAACGTGATTTTCGATGACAAAATCTTACGAAGCTTAAGTGGTGTTTATGCTTCACGTCATCGTCACGTCCTCCTTCAAATCCGATTTTTTGATTGGCTGAACGAAATTATCACTACGACAATTAAAAATTTTAACCAATCAAAAAATCGAATTTGGAGGAGGACGTGACGTTGACGTGAAGCATAAACGCACCTTTACAAAATCTCGTAAGCGTCGTAAGTTATTTTACGATACGAAGAATACTAAGGATACGAAGAAATAATGAATACCCTCATTATTATCTATATAATCCGGCTAATAAATTTTTGTCAATTTTCTTGCGCATGCTAATTTTTATTTCTACAAAAATTGTATGCAAAATAGTTTTTTGTTCCCAAAATCTTGTTCATGTCGATTAATATAGATATCTAACGGTCAAAATCTGGCTGTTTAGTTGGTGACAACGAAATTGACTGCAAATATATAAAATGTAATAGATTAAGACGAATCGCATCTTTAAATTAATTGCGACAAAAAATGTATGAATATCATGGATCAACCAAAGATAACCAAGTAAGGAACAAAAAAAGGATTTCTAACGGTTCAACTCTCTTCCGCCGCATACACCATGTGCAAAAGTAATTTTTACACTTTGCTCATTTCACACGTTGAAGTATCCTCGTATTTCCGTTAATTTCACTCAACTTGTCCATTTAATTAAGCTAAAATCCTCATTTTCTGCTTCATTTATATTTCTTGCTTTTGCAATAATGGATGATATGCAATGGTTAAGGGAAATGTTACAAACATAGCTCAAGGTGCAGCTTTTTGCATATCTAAATACATGCATATATTAATTTATGTTTACAGTATTATGCTCTCTACTTTCTTTAAGTTTTCCACAACGTTGAGGTCCTTAGTCTTGCATACGCTTACCATGCAGTAGTAGCAAATAAATAAAAGTAAATAAATAGCAATTGTATGTGTATACATACACATGTGGTATGAAAATGTTAATTAATTAATTCCAACCCTTATTGATGCTTAACAAAGCTTGGAAGGCAAAAGTTGTCTCGTCATAATTTAAATTTACACTACGATCCTTATAATCAGCTTGATATTATAATGTTATAATAAAACCAGGTTATCATATCCGAGATCAATTACAACTTGTTTTCTGTCAGTTATCTTTATTAGCATCAAATGTTTTAACGGAAAGTGCGAACGTGTGGAGAGATTGTTTATGTCTTTTTTTTCTAAACGGGAGTTACTACGGTTCAAAATTGATGTTCTAGGAAACTGGACCATTGCCTTAGTAGGGTCAGTTCTGGCGAATTATTATTACTGTTGAATTTCTATATAACATTTTATTATACTAAAGTGTGTGACATAAAGTTTGAAAGTGTGCTTCCTGTTTATAAGTAAAATCGCTTTTTGAAATTGGTCAGTTTTTTAAATCGTTCAGTGCAATAAATCCGAGATGCCTACGAAACGAGGATGCATACGCAAAAAAGAGCATCAAAATCCTTACCAGCATATCATATCGGATTATTATCGACAGATTATTGACTGCCTCAATTTACTTCTACAGCACGCCTGACCCACTTTCATCCAATAAAATTAAGTAAGTACTTACTATTATTATTATTATGATTATTATTACGGAGACTTGAACATTGCCGTTCCTGATATACATATACCTAACCTACATACGTACATATATACACTTATTGGACACAATTTCTTTTTACCTCTGTCACATCATCGATCGATGCAGCAATTGAAATTGTACCAAATCGCATAATAATTATTAATTGTGATGAATCTATGGACATTCAAACTGCGGCGTAATACTTAATTGAGTTGCTGAGGAATGTTTTGTTGGATACGCGAGTCTGATGAATATCACATCATCCCCCACGCCAGTAATACGTATAGCTCAATAATCATCTGGTCATCAATATGTCCACCACTATAAAATTCCAACAGGCCACTGCATCACCAATGAAATGGACATACACACTGCCATTAATTCGATGAAGAAGTGCATAAGCTGTTATACACCGTCTTTAATCCTAGTCCCAGCATGGATCGTTAATAAGGTACACTCGACTAACCACTAAAAAGTAACAAAACCAAGTCGCCTTTCATATTAAAAGTTTGACTCATCGTCGGAGGCTGCTTTGGATACTAATAATACCTTCTCAATTGCCTCCAATAAAGAAGCTGAATGAGGTGGACCAGCAGCAAGCGTCTTCTTCTCGATGTCGGTCTTCACATTATCTTGATATCACGAAAACTTTTTTCAAAGAGAAAATTGAAAATTCAATGCACACACTTCTGGTTGGTACATTATTACAATCATATACGTACACATCCATAAGTACGTACATACGTATATGTACATATGCATAGAGAGAGGAGACTGGCTGAGATTTTGGTGAGACTTGAGACTAGCTTCTGCTATGTAGTCTGCACAAATAATACGGAATAGAATTTTGCTTTGTCGTCATACACCTCATCATATCGAACCACCCCTGCATAACAATCGCATCTTTTTCATGTGAATTCCTTACCAACTAACTACCTTATGGGTTGTATTATTCCGCATCTCACAGAAATAGAAAAAAAATAATCCTAGGTCTGAGTATCATTCTACCCTCTACAATCCATGTAAAGTCAACAAGTAGTCATGTTTCAAGTATTCAATTCCTGCCAGTGAAGGAAACGTTTAGAAGGAAAGACGGTTTGTGCGTTTTGCAAAAAAAAAAGTATGCGAAAAGGGTTTATCCTCGCTGCTGTAGCGTTGGTGCAAGAGGAGAGACGGCAGTTTTTCTGGTGAAGGAGCCTTTGCTAATAAAAGTTGGTGGTTATTTACGATGATCACATTTGTTAAATGCGTGATTCTGGGGAAGTTGCGAACACGAGCCAAAGGATTTTACGAGATGTGAAATCCGATTTTGAAACCACAAAGATGGTGGAAAATCATGTTCTCGGATTGTTATGATCTTTTGATTACCAATGCACCATTAACTCAATCTACCTACTTGCTCTTTTATGAATGTGCAAATAAATTTGGTACATGTTTTGGGTAAGGCCAACACGAATGATCTACAATCTACGGTATTACTATTTATTATTATTATCGTGAAATAGTTTACAATATTGGATAAACCAGCACAGAGAAGGAAAAGAGAGGGAGAGGAGGAGAGACCCAGTTAAGAGTTGTTGATGTCGATAAAATTTATGAAAAGCCAATGGACTTGTTTGTTGGATTGAAATTGGAATGCGAGCATTAATTCTGTGATGCGCAGTCTATGGCTTCACCCAAAACTAAATATTTAATTTTGTAGGTGCAATAACACAGATTCCAATTTCCAAGGCACATATTGGCATATTTATTTGCTAAATCAGCAGAAATTTGCATCCACTTCATGAGAATGAGTCGTTTACCTGGAACTGTTTGATGAAATGGAAATGCCTGATCATAAGACAGTTTCATTAGACAGATATCATTTCCCGTTCGGTGGCTACAAGTTTTGGTACCAATGGTGATGGTGTTCTTTACTTTTATACACATATTTATGGCCAATAACACCAAAGCAATCTAGTTTACCTAATCTCCACTTTTGGATTTAATCAGCCTCGTAGATGACGACGCGGTGGTCGTGGCATGAGCGCATAGCCGAGGATAAGCAAATTCACACCTGACTAGCAATTGTACCAATTGTACACTGCGCACGACGGTAAGCGTATTTCTACATAAAAGTATATACACTACATACTTACACATATACGCATATGCATGCATGGTGACAGTTACATACATCCACAATAAACTCTGTCCGTTTACATAGCACATAAACACATGATGATTGATTTAACGGATTTGAGGCTGAATTTTACACATTATTGCTCTTCTGAATGCCTCAAGTGGTGTTCTTATTAATCAAGTTGGTCTGCTTGACTTTGATCTACATTTCCATCATCAGCACCACCCATCAAGTGGGTGATAATGGGAATGTGTGTTTTTTAGGTTTTGATATCAAAGGGCATTATAAATTTGTGCGGTTATAGTAGTTTGCTTGCTTTTTAAATGCTTACAACATTTAATGTTCATTAACCTCAAAGTTTTATCAATGATAACTTATCTATATCGCTCGTCTGGCCACTTGTGGATATCAGAAATCGATGTTGAAGTGTTGGTTTGGCACGTAACAAAAATTTTAAACGGTGGTTGTACATATCTCGTCTCCGTCATCAGCCTCCGTGCAGACATCATCGGCACTACCTGGACACGTGAAAGGTGCTGAGAGGGAGAGAGAGAAGAGATACTGCTTGGTTTCTACTGGGAAAATAACCCGTGTTAATAAGTACACAGCGATATTTATTGGGATTGTCACTGTTGGTTTATGCATATCAAGTGCCTTCGAGATAGGTAATTCGTTATAATATTTTTGATAAAGTTGACGTTGGTGTGCACATGACATCAGCAAATATGTCTAGTCGACATATTTTAATCAACTCGAAACTTCAACTGAATTATATTTCCATTCGAAATATGCTTAATTTCCAAAAATGTCAATTAATCCAAATTTTAGGAATATGTAGCGATTAAACTTGGACCACCCTTTTCTCGAAAGAAGGGAGAACCTACTCAAGTACATGCATACACACTAAATACATAAGGCAAGTGAACATATGTGGTTTTACAAGTCTCCGTTACGGCGAGTGGGACTTGATAATTAAGGCACAAAAGTGTGCTATTGTAAGAAAGGTGCATCTCGCATTTTCGTCTCTCAACTCATCCTCAGCACATCCAGCACGGAATTGAAAAGTTGAGGGAATCGTGTTCCCAAACTGCATGAATCCCACAGGGTAAGAAGAGCAGCAGCAAAGCAAGTGATGTAACAAAGCATCATGCTCGTACGTTTTTAACGCAACAAACAGGCAACAATAATCTGACTCTGTGTGCATGAAGGCTGAAGTGGTCGTGGTGTGGCAAGTAAGTAACCATTTCAGAGTCTCAGTCTCACTCTGCCACTCGACGCAACGCAAGTCCATCATTAAGTCTCAAAATTGAATTGCCCCGTCGTTGCAGTAATCGGCCCTACGTTTCATCATCACAATACGCACGTTGAGTAGAATTCATAAGGTTTGAGATTTCTGCAACTTTTTGATTGTCATTAGTACCGTGGTCGCATAAATAAAACATTGGATAAATATTTTGGAAGATTGTGTGTCGGCAGCAAAAAGTAAGTGAGACAGGAAATAAAGTTGCGACCAGCAAAATGTAAACAAATTAGCTGACCTTCTTCAAAATCGGTGCCTACCTTGTCCACACGTAGAGACAAGCATTGAGGGGATACTTAGTGGGGCATGGAGCAGTGACCAGTGTCTTTAGCATAGCCGCAGTGTAAAAGTAGTGCTGGGGGGTCAATATACAGACGGTCAGCCTGGCGCATGCATGTGGGTGGATGAACGTTCAAATTATTTGAAAACAATTACTCGACAAATGTTTGGAGTTACCTCCTCCCTCCAATAAAGAGGTTAATTACTTGGTGTCAAACAAATAATCTTAAAGCGACTTACTATAGTATACCTCCTCCCATTGCGGAAACAGTGGACGTCGCTCCATTCCGTGTCAACCAACATTTGTTGATGTGTTTATATTCTCATTTTCAAAAAAGTGTGACAGGTGTTTCAAGCCGTTGATGCCTTGGTCTTGCCGTCCCTCCTGACACTTTGCTACTGAACAACGACCAAAGTACTGGACCATGTGCTCTTCTCCTCTCTCCAATTTCACATGAGCCTTACTTATTAGTCTATTAAACTGCGAATACCGGAAATACTTGTAATCGGAACAATAACTTGATCCCTTATTTTACATCTTAACTGGAGTCCATCGTTCTCGAGAATCGGAACATGGAGGAGAATTTCGGATTTAGCCTTCCCCCGGGCGGAGCTGCTTCTTCTGAGCACCGAAGCCCAAGCCTGAATCGCGGAGGAGGCGGAAGTGTCCCGAATAATAATAATACTAATGGAGGGGGCATGCCGCCATCGTTCCAATCGTACCACCATCACCACCACCCTCACAATGTTTTTCAACAAGTTTCACATCCGGGCATGCCCTCCATGGCCCAGATAGAAGAATGGCACAGTCATAATCACCACAATCTGGCCATGCAGCAAAACATTTTGGCCAACCATCTCAATATGAACGGCAATGGGGGGCTGGAAAAACCTAAAAAAGAGCAAAGGATTCGAAGTAGGTTTGTCAAGTAATTCTGGCATACATACATAAAAGTCCAAATGCATCCTCCATCTTTATACATAAGTTTCTGTTCTCAGGAATCGCATTTTTATGCATATTTATTATTATTTTTTCAGGACCAATGAACGCTTTCATGGTGAGATTTCTTGTTAATTACTTAAAAATATGAGTAGTAGTAGTATATTGCGATTGTTACATTTTTGCAGGTTTGGGCTAAAGTCGAGAGGAAACGGTTAGCAGATGAAAATCCAGACTTGCACAATGCAGATTTAAGTAAAATGTTGGGTGAGTTTTTTATGCGCAGTTTATATTGATAAGTATTTTCATATTTTCATCTCATCCCTGTCAACTACTAGACTTCCAAAAGTCTGTTTCCCATTTGATTGCAAATTGCTGTCATATCATGTTGCAATGTTGCAAGCCCCGTTATCCCTGCACAAAAATTGTCTGAAAAACTTGTGAACCAAGTACTCAATTCTGCTCATAAAACTGGGTCTTTAAACTAATAAATGGCATGGTCCCAATTCCAAGTAGCTGCTCCATAATTAATAGGCGGATGAAGCATAAAATGGTAATCAAACGACCATTAGAACGGACGGCGTAAGTTGGGGATATATAATTTGGGCTGTGAATTTAATAATAACCCAGTTGATCATTTTCTAATTTTAATCTTGATGCGTATTCTTGAATTCGTCCTGGCTGTAAAGAAACAATATGGTGAGGATGGTGGTGATACATACTTGTGGTCTGGTGGAAGTGGTGCATTTTTCGATGTGCATATAGCACCCACCCGACGACGACGACAACGACGACGACGACGTTATGAAATTTTACTGACTGCTACTGCTAATAATACGTACGTACGTGGACCGGTTTACTAATAACTGCATGAATAAATATGCATGCATCGTCATATCTCGATACCCACCAAGCAATTCACCTAAGAATAACCAATAACTGTATAATATGCTTTTCTGAAGTGAGGCAGTAATAGTGCTTTATAGAGAGTATCGTTAATTATTTTTCTTAATTTGCCATTGTTTAAAGTAAAAGCAAGGCCACTGACTCACATTTAATTGCTTTTATTTACATACATTCCAGTCCCACTTCCAGTTTGACTCGGCTACTTATTACTCGACTTATTTAAACATTTGACGAGAAAGTTCTTTCAATAACCTTGTCTCGAGTTTGACTTTTGAAACCGAAATGCGAGTCTTATCTCACATTTTTAACACTAACAAAAGTGTTATTACATACGAGCTCATAAAAATGCTCCTTTACTTTATTGGCTTGATCTTGAGCTGATGTCGTCAATAAATTACAGATTTAATTGGCCCAATAAAATTTTCATATATGTCAATACCTAACAATTATTACTATTATCGCTGTATACTATCATCATTTGAAACTCTAATGAAATTGTCCAGAGTAATTACTCTAAGCATGCACGCTCACTAAATTGATAAAAAAAGTATCATTCCGTATACCTATCAAAGTGAAGGAAACTGCATCCGATTGAAAAATTTACACGTATTTAAGAACGATGTGTACATATCTATATGTGTATGAAAGTTAATTGTTGAACCGTTGCTTATAAAGTCAACTGCTCTGCTAACTTTATGCGTTTTTCTATGAATTTTGCACATGTAGATATGAATTAACTATGTGCAATGTACACCGTCAACGGTAGCAAATTCCCATCTCCTGTTTTCGTACTTTTCAATGTTGAGTGAAGAAGTATGTGGTAATGGGAATTGCACGGCAGAGTAATTGTCTAGACAAGTGTAAGTCAACGTAAAGCAGGGATTTTTTTGGATTGAAAAGGATTGAGAGGAACTATATAAACCCGTTAACGCAAGTAAACGAGCAAGTTCACTTTACGCAGCTTCCGTTGTCGGAGAATATTCTGTCTCAAAATGAGCATCCTCATGGTACACAAATATTTAGTATTTAGTAACAAGAAGTACGTATTTGTACGTAGTAGGCATATTGGTGCGATTACTTCTTTGTTGTTGTGTTTGTTCATGGATGGGCCGTGGAGCTTTTATTTTACGATTCCTTAAGTGGTTGTAATATATCGTCTTGAGCTGAAGTTTTCGTCATTTGATTAAAGCTCCTGCACAAAAGCATCTTTTCTCCTTCTTGAGATAACAAATATTTTCATTAAATCTCATTAACCCGTTTGTCGGTCCTCTTCTCAAGTACCCACACCAACAACCTCCAAGTCTGCCTCTTGCATACATACATCACACTACATGACTTTTATCATTCCAATGATCAAAATCAGCTTGAATCATTTCCCTCCTGCTCACGGCAAGTAAAAGAGAATTCATAAGTAAAGGCTCATGAGATTTTGAGGAGATTATATCTCTGCAACAGCGCCTTTAACTACCATTTCTCGTCGCATTCGGCAGCATTCTTATGATTTTTTCACCCAGTTTTTGTCAACACCCCGAATTCTGCTTATGCAGTTTAATTTAATGAAGGTGTTGGTGTTGGATTAGATTAACGAGGAGCATCTGAATCTCATACTCATTTAATTTGAGTAGCCGACCAAGATCAGATACAACAAGGGAGACTTATTTTATTGCACTCATGCCAGTAGCACTTTTCAGTTCATTTGTCTCTGGAAATGCCTCTCGGTCTGTTGCTACTTCTACAAAGTCGTGGCTCTTAAACCTGCTCTGCAGTTTTTCTCTTGACTCTGAATCCGGTTGTTGATAGGCCCAGTAAAGTAAAGTGACTTGCAAGAACACGGACACAAATTACAAAAAAAACATTATGGTCACCACGCCACCGAGCAAAATGACTATTCTGATCCCACATGTCACCCGTCATTGGTCTTGAAAGCTGTGCATCACGAGAAAAGAATTAGTTTACTTGCTCAAGATATAGGTATGTGGCAACGCAGTTGACAGAATGAAAGGTCGATGATTCCTTACACACCGTGGGTGAGATAAATAAATATAGTACAACCAGTCTACCAAAACACTATTGGACACTGGGAACAAAATTAACTCGGATATTTATATGCGATATTCTCGTATAGCAATTATTAGTGGCACTTACGTACCAAACGAGAAACGAGTCTGGTAGACGGTAAACTTCTCCGAACACGACATGCCAGGTTAGGTTACACAAACAAGTTCAGTGTTATTTTATTGCAAAACTCAGGTACAAGACTGGTGTGGAATGAAATGCAATCAGTAATATGTGTTATTTGATAAGCGATAAAAATACGCACATTTGCACCCCATTAAAAAAGTAATGCTTCCGATGCATTCCGTTGTAACAGGGTCGTTAGTTTACATATGTACACGAAGAAAGAACTTTTCTGCCTTTCATTGATTTCTGTCCTGACATTCGAATCTTTTATTGCAATATTTTCACATTTCCTAACCAAGAATATGGCAAGATGTTGTGTCCATTTAGACATAACAAATAGGTATTAAAATGCAGCTTGTCCTTTTACAAAGAGTTGATGCAATGGTAGATGACCGACTTTGTTGAGCGTCTCAGTTTCCCCAATGGCTAGAATATTGGACCTCCTGATAAGACTTACTTTCGTTTCGTTCTGCAGGCTGTACGACACACATACTCCGAAAGCATTTGGAGTTATTATGCACGCAATGTGCGATTTTGATTCAAGTGCATAAATCATGGATAGTTGATAACCATCCGCTTGGCTGGTGAAGAGTGACGGAGAGTCGGCGTAAAGGAGGTACGAGGTCTAGGTTACATGAATCGACCTCAGCACAGTCCTGCCTGAGCGGTGACCACCTTTATTATTACACACACACATGGGTTGCCATATATATACGCACCTTGTGTATGCATTTATCTTTATAAAGTTAAAAAAATATGCAGTCAATATAACACGAAACAACAAAGTCAGGCCTAAGTAATTGTAAACATCTCCCCCATTAACGTCACAGCAGTTGTTGCTCCAAGAGGAATTACCCTAAATTCGCCACATGCACTGCACTTGGCCCATTTAGATTGCTATTACCACAAACAACACACCAGGTTGCTTGTTAAAAATTGGAATGACGACGAGCAGAGGTCCTTTTGACCCCAGAAGTCTTCCCAAATCCAAAAAAGAAACCTGAGGCGTACAACAAGAACGACAAGTGCACGCAAAACTCTTTATGTGTAAAAGCAACAGGTGGAATTCGAGAGAGGTTTGGTTGAAATTCGCAAAAAAAAAACAGCAATTTTAATTAGATGAGGTCCACTGCTTCTGACAGTTCCTTTACCAAGTGACAAGCGAGCGACTATGTGTGTACGTATAACCAATGATGCAAACTTCGTGGCCGTTTTATTTTTAGTTTAGTTGTTTAAGGAGGACATACAGTCGAGCAATTGGCTCTACATGTATTACTAAAACGTATTTAGATGATTATAGTGAATCCCATCTGCAAAAATTAATTCTCACTTAAAACATGACATAACTTTGGTACTTGTTAAGCGTGGAAAGATCCGCGTGCTTGTCCAATTCCTTGAGGAAATACACATTTTACATGGTCTTGATATAAATTGTGGAAATCAACAGATTTCCGTACTTTGTGATCTAGTCCCACTGCGCCGTGCCCTGTCGCTGCTATTACTCGTCGTAAAGTGGTCCTCATTGCCACCAAAAACTCGTGAATGAATCACAATGGCAATGATAATAAGTGATGGCCGGCTGTTAGTTTTTTGAATGACTAACACACACCTAACTACACACCGGCGTCGGCGGACACTCACTTATTAACTTGCCACTTGTTGCTCTTACCTTCTTTAACAAACCTAATTTGCTGGACCATAAAATGAACCTTCAAAGCAATTCAATTTCCTTACAACTGACTGTCACATTTTGCTTAACGTCTTTTTAACCCAAACATCACTTCAATTTCAAATGGTTTAATACGAGGATAATTTTTGGGGTGTTGGTTGATCTATTGATATGTGCACCTCATGGACAAGATAAATATGTAATAAATACGTTTACAAATTACGTACTCATTTAGTGTGGAAGAGTTTGACTAAATGATACTGCGTGTATCGCTTGATTTAGAAACATTTTCCACACCCATTGGACGATCGGCGACATGACATTCTTCCCTTTGTCATTGCCACCGTCTTGATTGTGAAGGGCAAGGTGTGCCTCTTGACCGTGCTGCACATTTAGGAAATATGTATTTTGACAATTTCGTCGTCTCAATGCTGTGACATTTTGACTCTGTGAAATAGCTCTGAAAACGAATTTATTTATGGGCGGTGTGTCATTTCAATATACACATTCA